ATTTATGATACTATGCTCAAGAAAAAATAGAACTTTATCTTCTAGCATCTGAGAAGCCTGCACAGAAAGTTTTATGAGAATCCAAGTTCTAAAACTTGGAATCTCATAATACTTCCTTTTTAGGCTAAAAATGTTGTATTTAATAATAGTGATTTTTTTTTTTTTTTTAATAATATGAAATTAATTAAAAATAACTCCAATTATGATTTTTACATTTTGTTGAAGAAAGGATGGTAAATAAATTTAATATAAAATATTTATTTAACTTGCTGTATGAGTAAATAGTTGATATATCATGACTTTACTGTTTTGTAAAAAGCAAAATGAATTTTAAGGCCGAACACACAACGAGTATATTATATAAATTAGTAAAAAATAAAATAATCTGCAATCCTTTTTTTCCTATTTGCAGCATTTGATCTATTCTAAGATTGTTAATGATAAATCTTTAATATGTTACAGTATTGATGAGAAGTTTACTTTTGGTAACTTTCGATTAATTGTTCACCTGGTATATTGAAAGTGTCAAATCATTTCTATCAACAAGATAAAGAATATGGCATAGGTTATTCCATAAATAATCAATATTATGCAAGTGCATGTTTGTGAATCTACTGTGTAAACATAGAAATTAATATTCAGTTTCAATTAAATGTTTCAATGAAGTTGTATACAAAAAGATTGACATTTTCATTTCTTCAAATTCTAAGAATTGCCATTGATTTATTTTCAACTTAAAATAACTCAAAAATAAAATAGTTATAATGTATCTCTTATATTTCGAGCAAATATGTAAATATTTATTGTCACAAGATGATGATAACTTAATTTTGTGTATGTATGTTTATTGTAGAATTGATTTTTATATTTTCTTTACTTATAATGCAAGTAGTAGTAGTAGTAGTAGTAGTAGTAGTAGCTTTTTTAACTATATAAACAACTCTATAACCTGAGTTTTTAATTGATCACAACCAGATGATCTGCCAAATTATCGGGCTATTAAGAGGCTAATTTAAAGCTCTATAATTTGGCAGATTGTCTTGTTGGGATTATTTTTTATAATTTGTCATCACATCTCTTAGATCTCTTAGCTAAAAAAGAAATTCTTGATATACAACTGTTGCTGGGTAATAAACTATTATCACTGGTTATAAATTATTGTTTTTTGTCAATTTGGTAGACAGAAGTGTCAAATGCAATAGCCATATTTTATTAATTTGTAATAACATAGAAGAATTTCAACATAGACAAGTTGAACTATATATTTATCTTGAATCCTGTGGAAATGAGAAAAAAGTTTGAGATACAAAGGTTCCTACACAGTAAATGGTTATAGGTTTGATTTCAGGCATGATATTTTATTCATACAATAGTGAATACAATAATGCCCGATTAGGTGTAAATAAAACATTTCTGACATACCTTAACAGAGATAGTTTGTCGGTAGTTTCCAACTGATAAGACGCCAGCCAAACTTGTAGCCAATAGGAGAAAAGCAGCGTTAATTGCAACTATGCATTATACTGTAAGAGATGTTTCTCGACTACAATTTATACTATCAAAATGTAGTTGTTGAGCTTTAAATTTGTAACTGCGTCAATCCATAATTTGAGACGACAATGTTTTGAGAGAAAATTATTTGAGATAAACATGGAAAATTTATTGAATTTAGGCTGAAAATGCAGGGGAAAAAAATTTTGAGATAAACAGGTTTGACTGTATATTATATTTGCTTCCATAATTACAAATGGCATTACTAAGATCAACCAACGAACAATCATCGTAATAGCAAGTTCCTTATCAATGATCGACTCCATTATTATTATAGCCGATAGTTTTTTTTTTATTTGAACCATAAAAGTTATGTAACCGTATGTTATGAACCGTAAAAGTTATCATTGTTAAAAATTTTTGTAATGAAACAGTTTATTAAAAATAATTAACACAAATGAATCAATTGAAGAATGATAAGGAGTTCAGTTAGAGTGTGAAATCTCATCCCAATGCAGAAGATAATAAGTAAAGAGGTAATTTACATTATATTATAGAAATTCTTCTATTTAACATTATATACAAAGTGAGACTCCATATGTATATAACAAACAGAATCTAAATTTCCGTCAGTGTGCGGAGAGTAATGGAAGACGTTTAGTAATGGGCAACGATACTGTCCGATCCTTTCTGCACGTGTAATTTAAACAAAACTTTACTTGTTAATATAATATTTATATTTGTAAAATTTATATTTTATTTTGTTATTTATTAATAAGTGTTAATTTTATTAAAAAAAAAAAAAAACAATAGGAAGAAATTTCAAAAATTTGTAAGTATGTTTTCTCTATTTGCTTCAAATCAGTAAATGGCAATAGCAAACCATTTTACGCAATGCTTCGCAGTGCAATATATAATTTCTGACTAATTTAGTTTTTTCAGTTATTGAAAAATAAGAAACCTACTTTGTTTTAGTAGTAGTAATAAGTATTCATTTTTGACTCGGAAATGAGTCTCCTTTCGTTTGATTTATGGCAGAATTTTCTTTACACTGGACTACTTTGCATAGTATTAGGCATCTGACTTACTTTAAAGTAGAATATCCCAAAGTTTTTGGACTACTGCCTCCCTTTTAGTGTATGCATTTCTTATAAATTATATTTTCTGTTTTGCTTGTCTCCTAAGGCCAAGACTCCACTAGCATAAAAATGGGCATAAAAACCTTTGCCGTAAAAACTTAATCGTATGACCTATTTGCGCTTGCATCTGGATTGTGGTGGAGGTCCGGCTAGCAAAGTTTTTACGCCGAAAGTACTATCGAAGTTATAAAGACAATGATTATTTTCTACGAGTTTTTTCTGTACTACAGTTACAAATGTACTAAAAATAATATCTTTACTTTCATATATTAACTTTTATTATCGTATTATTAATTAAGAAAATATACAGCACTTATAAGCTTAGCTTTTTTTATTATGTACTCCTTTAAATTGAAGGATTTTCCTTTGGCCGTCCATATCGCATGTTTTAGGCATCCATTATTATAATCGGGATACTTCTTGTCGTATATACACGAATACTTTTGGATGTTTTCGATAAATCTTTCCAGATCTGTTCTAGAGTAGCCACAAAGAAACATACACAAAAGCTCGTTTTCCACCATTTTTGCACCGTGTCACAATGACCTAGATTTTACTGACTTCTGATTGGTGGATGGTACCATTTTATGGCCATATTCGCGTTGAAAGTTGAACACTGCTCAACTCGCTTTTACGCTGGTTATATGACCTACTTGGGCGTAAAATATCAGGGTCACGTGATTAAAAGCTTTTACGGCGAGAGGTTTTATGCCTGTTTTTATGCTAGTGGAGTCTTGGCCTAACACTTCTGTTGCCCCTTGCTTTTTGGCATTCCTCAAATCTTCTGCCCTTGACAGGACGGTAGCCCCCATTTTGGAAATTGCTGCTTTAAAGGAATCGGATATTAACTGCTATTAAAAATGTTTCCAAAGTTCATTTGCTTCCTCGTCAGATTATCGATTGAAGTTTTGCTTTCTTTCCAATTATAATGTACTCATAACAAACTATCGTGTAGGATTTTTTAAAATAGACTTCAACAGCACTATGATGATAAAATTTTTTCATTTTCAAAATTTTATTAATTTGAATAAAAATAATATATAACAAATATATACCCAATAGAACATATGGTTTTAAATATAAATTTTGTAGGGTTTTTAATTGGTCTAATTGGTTCGAGTGTAATTTACTACTTAGTTGTTTGAAATGATTTTTAAAATTAACTGAAAAGATTTTGCTCGATGCCGTAGTAATCTCCTTTTTAAGTCATGCAGAAAGACTTTTTTAAAGTGCAGAAGCATAACCTGTATCATTGGGTATGTAAATTTAGTATCTAATTATAAATTTATTGTATTGTTTTAGTCAATTTATAATTTGTAAATAAGTTATAAGCATCAAATAATAGTGTTTTAGAAATTAAGAAATTTTCTTAATTATTTAGTGTAGAAGAAAGGTATGGTTTTTGATAATTTTCTCTTAGACGAACCAAAAATCCATAGAAAACCAGCATGATTACTGCATAACTTTCCTTTTTTCGTTCAAACAATTTGCTTGACGATTAAAATACTTGTTATGCCGAGCGATCAAACAAAAGTAAAATGCATGAGGAGTAGCATGGAAAGTTTGACGCGCTACAAGTTTGACTCGATGCCGGCACAAGCTGGTCGTGCATGTCGTCCTGCCTGTTCGTGCCGTCGCCGAGTGAACTCGGCATCGCCAAAACTCCTCATGCTACTTCCCGTGAGTACTCTTGTTTTTTGATGGCTCTATATAAGTGCGATTCTCTGTTATCTAACTCTAGCAATCTCTGCACGATGGTTTATTTTTCGATCACATTAATTCTGTTCCATTAACAATAACCTTTGGTCGCAATTTACTTACGACTTAAATATCGCCCGGGTGAAAATTCATGACTTGAGTCTTCTCGAATCCGTATGCTTGACGAGTGTATTGAAAATTAACAGTCTTTTTTTAATACATTAAAAGTGGTATTAATAGCATGGTTTTACATAGGAGACTGGGATCGTAACATTTAAAATTTGATCGACAGTTTCCGTTTTTCTTATGCGGTTAACCGTTTCCGTAATTTAAAAAAAGCTTGTATTTCTGCAGCTTTGGCATTGCTTGATCTTTTTATACAACACATCTGTTACTTCTGTTATGAACTTACAGCTTCTAAATAATTAAAAATTTGTTACAGTTTAACTTAAATTGTTTCTTTTTTATATAATTATTGGATGATTATTAGAGGATAGTTTGGATAAAAATGATTGATATGTCAATTTAAAATAAATATATGTTTTAGTAATAAGTTATTAATAAAAATTTTAAGCTATAGAAAAATTATTTTAGTATATTTTAAAAGTTTTTCAAATTTATTTTAATCTAAAATTCATGTTAATAAGACTGCCTCTATTATGTTTTTTATAGATGAAGTGACTATTAAAGATTTCTATAAAGAAGGTATTAAATTATAAGCAAATTCTTTAATTTTTAGGTTAAATTATTACGATACTTAAAATTTTAAATGTTAAAGAAAGATGGAACTATGTCATAGCATTTATAAAACGCGAACTCTGCGCAATGAATGGTGAAAAACGGGCAGATTGACGAGAAAATAAGTTAATTATCCGAATTGTTTTAAAAATAATTTTAAAATCTGAAGTTAAATTAACTGCTTCTTAAATGAATTAAACAAAAAATACTTCAAATAATAAACATAATAAAATAAGTCTAACATGACTAAAATGGGTCGATTATGTAGATTAGAAAAGTAATAAGTTTGGAAGTAATAACTTTTAAGTTTCAAGAGGGAGGAGTATATGAATTTTGCTCGTTCTTGAAATTAAATTGACTCCAGACCAATTTATATTATAAATTCCAGAAGTTTTGCTGTAATCTTTTTCATCTGTCTCTCATGTTCCTTATAACCCAAGAATGAATGGCAGTTCCAATACAAAAAGTGGTACTAATTCTCTATAAAGTTATATAAACACCTTTGACAGGAGTTCTGTGATAAAATACAAAAATACTCTATAATTTTTAAATTTTTAATTTATTTATTAATGCTCTTTTTGTGCATGTTATTTTATAATACCAATTCCAGTTAAAGCTGGAAAGTTGTTAATATGCTTCCAGAATGTTTGAAAAACACTAAAATTTAATGGAAGAATCTCGTAACAGTTTAATGAATTACTAATTGGACTTATTGCAAATTACTGATGATCTTAAATTGTCATTATGCTAACAAAGTTTCAATCTTTTAAGTTACGAACGTTGTTAAAGTTTTTTTTTTTTTTTAATTAATCTGTTTGAAATGAGTTTTTAGGTTGGTATACGGCAACACGACACGTGGGTGATCTGCCAAGGGAAACTCCTCCCGGGAGGTCTTTTATGGGAAACTGGCCCATATTTAGGTGTTACTAACGTGAAGAAAACCTGGAAAACTCCACAAGTCAGGCCCATCGACTAGGTGCGAACCCACCACCGTTTGGGTGTTTGGTGGTTTTATCCACTCTACCACCAGTGGGTTCATTTAAAATAAGAATGAATTAATGTAAGACATGTTTTTGTACACTTTCTGAGACAATGACAGAATAATCTTCAAGTGTTTGCTATTCAATTTGTCTTATCAACAGACACATCAGCGAATGTCTAGATCAAACGGACAATCTTCAGTCCATGGGTTAACATCAACCTATGAACATGCATAATCAGACTGTCTTCTGTAAAATATATATAATAAATGTAATATCTAGTATTTGTATTTTATTTTTCTTACTAATAAAATCATTTGTGCATGTGAATGGGTATAGATATTACAATAAACAGCATAAACTATTTTTGACAATTTTTTCATTATACAACATTTTAAGTCTTAAAAGTAACCTTACAAATTATGGAAAATTAAAAAAAAAAAAGAAAAAAATTGACCCACACATATTTAAGACATTTAAAAAGTGTCCACCTTTGGACTAGGTAAACTACAAAATGGACCAGAAGTCAGTCATCCAGGATTCTAAATGCAAATAACGTCTGTTTTCGAACTGATATTTTCTTCCTTTTGCAGATACTGGTAGATCATAATTGGAGATTTCACTATGGTGAAGAGCACTGGCAGTGAGGTCAGGAGATTGTTCTGACCTCACCATTCTTTTCGCTTCTTTGCACTTCTTTTTGGGGGTTCACCCAGATATGCATGTCTTAAATGAAATTTGATGTTTGTTGTTGCAATTTCTGGTCTGGATTAACATATCCTTTCAGAAATGCATGCGTGAACTCCGACTTTATAACATTATATGAAGGGCAAAGGAAAAAACGCAAGCTATGTTGCATTTTTTAAAATATTGAGATATATTATCTCACTGTTATGAGTGGTGGGTGAAAAGTGGGATGGTTCAATAAGGAAATTAAAAATTTCAGCAAGAAGGTTAAAAATTGGGAAAGTGTTTTAATATGAGGAATAGAGAGCAGTTAGGTAGATCTCGATTCTGTTTCATTTCATCGACGTTAAGAGTAAAGCGTTTGTGCAGATTATATTAATTATGGTGTAGTAGAACCGCAATCATCCGAGGCAAACCCATAAATTAATATACCACTTTTCGTATGTTGTAATTCACAAAAGAAGGTTTAAAAATTAATGTGTGTTACAAAATGAATTCTATTATAACGTTACAAGCAATGTCTTTCGAGAGTGGCGTGTGACAAAAACAATAATAAGGAAAAAAGGAAAAGAACTGGAACAATTGTGAAGAATGAATGTGATATCCCCTTGTTTTTTTCCTTTACCCTTATACATATCATAAGTAGAAATAATAAAACTTAAAGCCATAATCTTCATTAACAGATTACAGCAAAAATTATTTAAAGTAATTTGTTATAATCATCAGATTTTTAAATAGAATATTTATTTTTCTTATAATGGGATAAAATTTACAAATTTAATGGTGCTCAAATAATGTTTAAATATCAAAAGAATGTGTGTAAAAAAATGGTGAATAATTAAAAAAATATGTTAATACATTTAAGTACTGGATAATGACAACGCACCAATGACCATAATACTATTTAAACAAAAACTGTTTTAGTGTTACGAACGCCAAGCAACAAAGAAGAAGAAACGAAACACAATGTTTTGAATTAATATTCAATACTAGTACTTTTGTCAATATGTCAATCGTCAGGCGCCCAGAACATTTTATGGACATCAACTATCATGTCTTTAAAAATTTTAATCCGAAACTTTCATACTTTTCTTTTTTATTTAGAATTTATAATGCCATAAGACAGTTTTTGTTTAAGTAGAAGATTTATATATAAATTCTGGCATATAAAACAGAACAGTAGATTCAAAGATGATGTGTAGAGCATTGACGTTAATTGGGTAGATACAAATTCTTCTGCAAAAAAACACTTGTGTGCCAATACATACGGTAGCACATGCAAGACTAATAATGTATCTAACGTTATGGTAGAAGTTTGTTTGGATTTTCACTTAATATACAAGTGGGATTGCATTAAAAAATGTGTGTTGTGGTTTCAATATTTTTAAAATTATATTTTAAATGTATTCGTCATTAGGCACCTAATTGTGATTTTGTGTTTGAAATGTTTTAATTATTTAAAATCAGAAAATTGTCAAATGTTGGTAAAAATTTTTACTCTTACTGAAGAAATTAATAAGAAGAAAATAGTACGTAATGAAATAATTTTTCGTAAAATAATTTAAAGATAACAAACATGTTCGTCATTATTGTTCAAGCTATCCTTTTAAAATAAATTATTATAATCTTTTTAGAATTATTATTTAAATTGATATATATTTTTATTTTAGGCGAATATGCTGGAACCCAGGGTTTGGGTCTGCTGAGATTACACAGCACGTATCGTCACGATTTAAAAATATACGCTTCCGACGAAGGCAGGGTGCAGATGACAGCAGCGGCATTTGCAAAGGTAAACAAAATCAATATTTAGAAACAAAAGTGTGTTGCGTTAATGACGAAATATTTGTTTATTTGAAAATTTTTTACTTTTAACGATAAACATACCTTTTACCTACGCAGGGTCTTCTTGCTCTGGAGGGTGAATTAACACCAATTCTTGTTCAGATGGTCAAAAGTGCAAACACAAACGGTTTGCTGGACAACGATTGCGAATCTAGTAATTTTCAGAATACGTGAGTAATTATTATTCATTTATTCTTTATACAAATGATACGTGGCAATGCCCAATGAGCAAAATAAGCCACCTCCAAACCACCTTCATAACAATAAAAAAAATACCTAATTGAAATCTATAAAAATAAAAATGAAATATATAAGTTTATGTTTAAAAAAGGGAAATTACATATTTTTATTTAAAAAAAATACATATTACTGCAATAATAATTGATCTAGTTTGAATATTTAACTTACCAAAAAACTTGTTAAACAAACTGGATTGATGAAGTAAATATATTGCATCTTCAATACAGTTAGAATTTTAAATGAACAAATATTTTAAAATACAGCAGAGTCTATGTTTCACATTATGGGAAATCAGGTTATTAAGACCTGCATTATCAGACAATTTTATGCAAATTTAAACCTAGTCCTAGAAGTTGAAGAAGAAAACATATACCTTTGAATGACAAAATTTGAATTTTGTATGAGTATCAGTTACAATTTTTTTGTTGTGTTATACAAGTTTATATTATAGGGGAGTGCATTATACAGAAGTTCACTGTATAACTTGTATTAGACGTACACAACTATACAAAAATATAAAATTGAATGTGTCTGTGGTACCTAGCCTACCGGAGGTTTTGGAATGTGTCGGTACTTGGCAGGCATAAGAGCCTTCGACTCTAATAATAACTGTACCGGCTCACATCTGTAAGAAAGTTGCTCATCTCGGATAGAATAAATGACAATCCATTCAAACAAAAACTAATTTATTAATGAAGAAAACTAGTTAAACAGTATTATTTACATTTGAAAAGAATAAAAAATTTACCTTGCAAAATGAAAGTGGTGTTTGCTCCTTAAAAAACTCTGGAACAGAATAGTTCCAAAGACATTTTTCTGTTTGGACTTTTTTCCTTATTAAAACTTGGTGTGGCTTTTTCTCTCTCATTGGTACTGCCAATAGAAATCTACTTGGCAACTATATACATGTATTTGAACTGTGTGTGTGTGTACACAATGTTATAAATGTTAGTGTTGATTGCATTTCAGTGATTGTGAATGGACATTTAGAAGACTTCAAAAATTTTTTTCCATAAGTTTTCAATACTTTTACATTTTTAAGTATATAAATTAAATAGAATAAGGAATTTTTCAGTGTAACCATCTTGCACAATGTAGAGATAGGATAAATTTTGCTTTTAAATAAAATTTAATATCTAAATTGATGTAATGCTTCGCATTGGCAGATTATATCTGCCAGACTAACAAAACTTACAAGCTGCCAGCTAATAAAGGAACTGTTAAGATCTACTTACTCTAATTTTGCTAAGTAACCAAAAAGGAACAATAAAATTTTTTAGAATCAAGCAATTTGACCAAAATTTAATGGTTTCTACGTCAATTCAGCCACAAAAAGTGTTTAATGTGTACACCAAATTGGCATACACATTAAACACTTTCTGTGTAATAAAATGGTTGGATGATTTCTTCACGCTATTCAATTCAGTAATATTTTGCCGGTTGATCTTTACTGTTTCATTAATACAAAAGCCTAAAATTATATTATTGAAACAAGTAACAACTAATGACAATGTAATAGCATTATAGCAGGAACATTACAGTAATTTTTATTTTAATGGTAAAAATAATTGCATTTATACCATACCAAATTACTACATTGTAAAAAGTATTTATTTACTCAATCATTTAAAATTTTTAAAATGTTATGAATGTAATATGCTTTATTTGTTGTTAGTCTTACAGAATTATTAACAAAAATTACCATTTCTAGTGTAAAGCAGAGATTACATGATGCGATGCAAGTTGATCGAGAACTAACATTAGAAGATTATGAGAAGGTAACTTTTACATTACATTAGTTTTTTAAACTTTTTAAATATGTATTGTTCTAAGAAAATTTTTATGTCAAATTTTTTAATGTTTCTATTTAATAATAATAATAAATAATGTCATAAATACTAAAAACTACAGAAAACACATACTCAAAGATACAACACTCACAAATGACACATGCAGAAAATGTCACATCATGCCAGAAACTATACAACACATCAATTCTGGTTGCAAGCTCTTGGCATAAACAGATTATTTACATAGACATAATCAAGTAGCAAACATAATACACCAAGAGCTTGCAAAGAAACACAAATTAATAGACATCCACAAACCATACTACAAATACATTCCACAGTATTGGAAAACAACACACACAAAATGTACTAAGACATAGCCATAATCACAGATAAAACAATATACCACAATAGACCAGACATCACGCTTGTTGACAAACACAATAAAATCACATGCATTATAGACAAATCCATTCCAAACACTCACAATGTACAAAACACATGCACTGAAAAAAATCAAGTACACAGAACTCGCCCAGGAAATTAGACATCTGTGGTGGATGGATAGGGTGCTTATTGTACCTTCACTATCTGCTCTACAGGTGTCATACCACACACACTACACAAAAGCCTGGGCACATTACAATTGAATACAAACACATACATCACACTACAGAAGGCCACTATATTGTTAGGAAATTCCTGAATACAGACACACACTGATACACTTTTTTAATTTTTGTTTTTGGTTACTGTGTCTTGACTTTGGTCCAGCATAGTGCACATAGTATACAGCCACCAGTGTTAACCGAGTATATATCACATAACCCAACATAATAATAATAATTGCCTTTTACAGATATATCAACTTAAGACTTGATGCAGAATTAACAAATTCCTTCAATTGGAGAACACCTGATGTTGACAAAATCCAAAACTTCTGTTACAAAAGATTCATCTCACTCCATGAGGCTCTTGCAGAATAAATAACATATACTATAAAGCAGCCACATGCTGCACCCAGTTTCATCACACAAGGAATCAACTTTCTAAAATCAAAATCAAATAATACAACAGATCTCTCTCAATACGGGACCTATCATATGCCTCTCTACATTGTACAAAATATAACATCTGCATTACAAACAAAATATATGCACACAGAGATGCATACAATGTTCTTACAGAGCAGCAAAAGGGCTATTGCCAATACCACATGGGATGTAAAGAGCAGCAACTCTTGATTGACACACAAACAAAAACAAACATTTTCAAACTCCATCTGAGTTCTTTATCAGGTTTTGTAACAATTACCAGATGTAGTTTGAAAATGTTTGTTTTTGTTTGTTTTGTTTATGTGCACACCATAATAGGTTCAGAGTATGTGATTAATTATTTATACCAACATAACCAGATAGCTAAAATAATTCATCAGTATGTAACAAAGAAATATTTACTAGCCACCACAAAAACACCATATTATAAGTATATTTCATATATTCCATAAACTATCATTGAGAACACAACATACAAACTGTTTTGACAGAGCAATTGTGCAGATAAAATGATTTGTTGCAATAGACCAGATATTATCCTCATTGACAAAGTACAAAGTACACAAAACTACCTGTATCATTGACATCACTATGCCAAATAGCTATAGAGAAAAAATAAGTAAATATACTGAACCCTCTCAAGAAGTAAAACATCTGTAGAAAGCAAATAAAGTCCATACCATACCAATAGTTCTCTTTGCCACAGAAGTTGTCCCAGGTTCATTATATAAAAGTCCAAATACAATAGACATTCACTCAAATTTATATAGAACTTACCATATAATTGATATAATTGTTCATTTTTCTCCATTTGGTCAACAGTTCTTAATTTGTCTCGACGTACATTCGTTATTATCCCATCATCATGTTCTTTATTCTGATAAGTTTATGTATCTTATGAATACCCAATCATCTTTTATGTTAATTTCTCTTCCACAATAACTTAATCATCCATTAATGAGATATGTTTCATTTACCTCCAGGTTGCAAACTCAAGAAACCTGATGATACTGTTGTTTTGTGATGGGCTGTCACATTTTAAATAATTTATTATAATAATTATATTTAATTAAAAACTAAAAAAAATCTTTAACAATATTTATAAAATATTTTTATTAGGTGCTTTCTCATTTTAAATATTCACTCGTACTTCAGTCTTCTCTCTCAAAATATTTTTGTCGTGAAATTTTAATTTCTGCAAAATTTTTATATTTTGGCAGATGTTTTTGGATCACATGGGTACTTTTTTAAACTTATGCAATTGAAAATCGGTTTTGTACAATTAAATTTTCAAATATTTATAGAATTACTGTGTATAGAACTGTGAGTTTGACTTGCAGGATTGAAAATAAACCCAAGTGATATAAAAATGGTTGCTAAAATAAAAAAAAAACTTTAGTCAAATGAAGTATTTTTTTTTAAACTCAAATACACTGTACTTTTTTTTATTAATTTCTGAATTATTAAGATAATTATGTAAGAAAGTTTATTTACATTATTAATTAATTTGTAGATTATTAAATTATTACTTGATGTATTTGTAGAAAATTTAAGCATTTTTAATTGAAAAATGTGATAAATTGAATTCTTGTACTGAAAATAATTTAAAGCTTTTTATTTCAGTTAAATCCCACTCAGGCTCGTTCAATACAGAATGCTTTAGCATTTATAAAAAATCCAGTTAAAGCATGCGAACACATCTACGAACTCGTTCAAATGTTAAATCATCTAATTAAAAAGAAGAAAGAGGATCCTAAAGTACAGGGTAATTAATCAAACTTTACTAAACATTGTCAGATTACCTTTTGGACTATGTTAAAGTAACTTTTAGTTAACAAATGGTAGAAAAAAAATATATATGATAGTTATACAAATAAATATTTGAAAAAATAAAACAATTAAAGCCAGTATAAATAATGTGTCCTACAAATTATAATAAAAATACATGTTTAGTATTTATATTATTTGTTTAGAGTCACCATTATATCACGGCGAAACGTGGGACTTGATGCAGCGTCGCTGGGCAAAATTAGAAAAGGATTTTAAATTGAAAAATGAAAAATTTGACATTAGCAAGATTCCAGATATATACGATTGCATTAAATATGACCTACAACACAACCAGCATACTTTGCAGTTTACACATTCAGAAGAATTATATATATATGCAAAAGCTTTAGCAGATATTGTCATTCCTCAGGTATTATAATCTTAATTTTTTAATTTAAGTCGTAATTTTTATGCTTTGTTTTTAATCAAAAGTAAATATTTATTGTAATGAAGGGAAGTAGTTTTACATTCAAAGAAAAAATAATCTTTTAGTACACATACTTTNAAAAATATATTATAGTTATACAAATAATATTTGTATAACTATCATACATGACAGAGCAATAGAGAAGCAAGTTTGAAAGTGTTTAATTTACATGGTAATATTTTCAAATGACACAGTTTGTTAGACAAATATTCAACGTTGAAGTTTAAGAACATCTTTTTAAATTTCTTGTATAACAAATATATTGTTATACAAATATTATTTGTATAACTATCATGTATGATAGTTATACAAATAATATTTGTATAACTATCATACATGACAGAGCAATAGAGAAGCAAGTTTGAAAGTGTTTAATTTACATGGTAATATTTTCAAATGACACAGTTTGTTAGACAAATATTCAACATTGAAGTTTAAGAACATCTTTTTAAATTTCTTTTCATTAGTTTCCGTATAACTTTATACTAATAGCTAGATAAAAAGCTTAAATTGGAACAAAATAACAATATTTTTTCTTTTGAGAATACATTATATTATAAGCCATAAATTTTTGGACATTCTTTATTCCTAATGGAATTCTTAATATTATTCTGGTAACACTAAATATCTGGATAAAATTAAAATCATGAAGAGATAGTATAAACATTTCTCAGTGGTTTAATAAAAGTATCAAATCCATCTAGTAAACAAAGCAATAATTACAGATACGTCATACTAACCTTGTATAACTTTGCAGTTACTACTTAAAAAACGTAACACAAACGTTTTCAACCCACTTCTAGGGTCTTCCTCAGGTGTTTTATAAGTTATTCTGGTGCGATTCTGATTTTTAACCATTCAGGTCTCCAATGCTTCTATCTTCGGAATTTATTTTTTAAAATTTCAAAATTCGAATCTCCAAATGTTTTATAAATTTATGACGCAATGCTTTAACAACTGGCACAGGCACACATTGTTTGGAGATTAAAATTTTGAAATTTTAAAAAATAAATTCCAAAGATATGTGAAAAATCTGACTATCGTATGAGAATTTTTATTAAATACGTAACAAGTTATATTTCTTTCATCATTATTTCCGTTATTTCTCCCGTTCTCACCCCGTTACCCGAGGAATAGACCCCGGATAATGAACTGCGTAATTCGTCTGTCAAGAAGGTCATCCCTGGGACGACGTTGTCCGAGGCGACCGCAGAAGAACTCCCCTCTCCCCGGGGTGTTTGTTTGTTTTTGCTAATTGGTCACACCGCAGACACCTTGTAATAGAGTAGTCTCCTGTGGGTGTCCAGTTGACGGAGGCGGACGGGTGTTCTTGTATTGAGGGTGGACAAGAGGTCACCTACAAGGGTCACTCGTATGGTGAGAAACATTACCTAAAATGGTCAGTCATCTCCCCAGGTGATGACGAATTTAACATTAATTGGTCGAGCGATGTCTGCATTGTCGTCACCCATGACGGGGGAGACTGTCATAAATCGGGAGAAGTGACATATTACGTCAACGGAGTCCCCGAGATTTCCCATGCTAAAAAAGTATAAAAGGGGAATGATCGGAGGTCTTGAGGCGATCATCGGAGAAAGAAGACTACAAGCGTCTACTCTGGAAGGACTTCAAGGTTTCTGATCGTCGACCTAAAGAGGTAAATACTTAGATTGTTTTTACTTCACTCTCTCTCGATATACTCGGACTTAGAAATTATTGTCTCTCGATATACTCGAACTTAGAAATTATTCGTCTCTCGGTATACTCGGGACTTAGATCATATTGTCTCTCGACTTACTCGGGACTTAGAAATTATTTGTTCTGTTCCTTTTGCTAGGACTTAGTCATATTTAGTGTCGAGGACCTTCGACGGTCTCACTTACGGGATAGACGGACATCGGTTGTCTGATATTGTCGCGACTCGGAATTTATTATAATTATCGCTTTCATATTGTTTAGAATTAATGTGTAATTGTATTATTTTTATGTTTATATTAAATATGTTATTCCTAATTTAATGACTCTTGTTAAGTACTTCCGACATCTCATCATGACTTCATTACGCCTCCCACTCCTTTAGCCCTCCTATAGCCATTTCCTGACAGCCAAGCCGGTAAGTGGGGAGAAGCTCTCCGCTTCAGCCCCCTCGGTTAGCACAGATAGAAGCATTGGAGACCTGAATGGTTAAAAATTGTAATTGCACTAGAAAAACTTGTCAAACGTTTGTGCTACATTTTTTAAATAGTAATTGCAAAGCTATACAAGATTAGTATGACGTATCTTTAATCAAAGTATTTAATACGTTACCAATTAATAATTGCATTAATTTTTTTTATTTATTTTATTATTAAATGCATAATTTTTTGTGTAATTTCTACTTTAATGATCAGTCATTATTACTTCATGTACATACGATTGCTAATTTAGGTATTCTCATGGAGTTTCTTCACCCGAACGGCACGTTCGCACTCGGCTTTATTTTACCAGCGAAAGCCACATTCATTCACTTTTGACGGTCCTTCGTTACGGTGGATTAATAGACGTAAGTTTATATCAAATAAATTAAACACACAATTCAATATTTTTTATGCCTATAAATTAGAAAAATCTTAGAATAGCAAAATAAAAGATTAAAATTCTGTGTCAAGTAAATTGTTAGCTAGCATGAATTTTGGCTTTATTTTGCACTTTTTTAAAGTGTCTAAGTTAACTTTTTAACAGACTACTTACACGTTAAACATTGTAATTATTTATTTTTATTGATTATTGGATTCTTGATAATTAAAGAAATGTTTGGGATAAGCATGAAAGAAACATGACATTAAAAACATTGAGATTAAAATAAGTTTTTTTATTAAAACAAATTTTCGACCATACAAATAATTTTAGGTTAGTTTAAAATCCTTTTTTAATATTTCATCTGTCCGTAGCTGGAATATTAAAAAAAAGGATTTTAAACTGACCTAAAATTATTTGTATGGTCAAAAATTTGATTTAATCAAAAATTTATCCTTTGAACTTTGTTATTCAAACTTTTATCATTTCAGCTGTATTTACGTTTAGCTAGCAATTTCAGATTACAAGATTAAAGTAACTGATAGATTTGCATATCTAGTTAAGTTATATCTTTTGTGACACTTTTCATATAATTCAACTCTAGTGAATTCACAACAGGATTTAGTTTTGAAAGTACTGTACATTTAGAATATTTTTGTCTGTTGTTGTCATTGACAGACAAAAATATTGTCATAAACAAAAGTGATTTTTTTACAAACAAGACAAAGTTTGTTAGTTTTGTATTTATAAATCATAAATAAAAATTTGAAAAGTACAGGAGCTCCCCTACATACAGTTTAACCTGTGTCGAAAATTTAAATTTCACATGGATTCTGAAGTTTTCTTGCCAGTCATTGGATGGCATTGAAGTCGGTCTTTGGCCAGTAATAAATAAATTTTTAATAAATAATTAATTTGGGTTTATTTCTATTGCATATGGTAATTTTTCATTTTCGTGCAAATTCTGAGGTTCCATTGCCATTAGTGAGGTGGTGTCAAAGTCGGGAATGTTGGAGTAATGGCATTTTTTGCTAGCATTTACAACTTTTATAAACTTTCACAATTATTACTTCAAAAATGTATCCATAACATAATAGTAAATCTAGAAGTGGAGATAAATGCAAGAAGTGTTACTCTATTACCATGAAAACTAAACTTGACATTATAAAACTAAGTGTGTTAGGTGAAAAAACTATAGTTGAAACACCTCAAAAAACTGCAAAACCTTCACGTAAGTCAAAAACTCAGGAACCCTAACCTGTTCATAGTAGGAGTGCTACTATATTTTATAAAACACTGAACAAAGAGCATTTATTATACCAATTTAAACCTGATTTATTTTTAAGCTTAACATTAAGAAAAAGAAATAGTTTGTAGAATTATAGTAAATTCTATAAATTTGTGCAATGACAATAGTATAACATGCTAGCCCTTCAAATTGAAGACTGCCATGTCATTGATTTCATTAGTATTGCACTTCATCCACATATCAATCTTGAGTTCAGAGCTTTCAAAATCTTTTCATTGTTCCAAAGATCCTTTTCTTCTCTTCTTTTTCATCTTTGCCACAAGGATAAAACAATCATCATCCTGTTTTTATCACTATTTTTTTTCTGGGTGGTGTTGTTTTTGTTGTTGTTGCTGTGATGGAAATTCATATGTTCTCAATTTCTTGTCAGAATGCAGAAAGAAAAAGAAGTAATTGCATAAACATTTTCTTGATAATCATCATAAAATAACTTCATTTTTCCTAAGTATCGTATATGACTGATGCTCCAATTTGTATTTGAATGCAAACACAGGAAAAAAAAACATTATTAAAATGAATAACTCTCAGAGGAACGTTTTTGTACAGTCAATATTGGATTAATGTTATTAATAAATAGAATTGCAAAGTCCCTAGTTCTATATAGCCAGCAAATCTTAGACACATTTTTTTCATAATTTGGAAGTAATATGGAATATTTCAATAAGAATGAAAAATAAAATTTTTTTTATAAGTCGTTTTTATTTACTTGAAATATGTTAATAAAATTATAACCTATATAATTTTTCAGGAAAGTAAAGACGAACAGTGGCGAAGGGCAATGGAGTATGTCAGTGCCGTATCCGAACTAAATTATATGACACAGATAGTAATTATGCTGTATGAAGATCCTACAAAAGTAAATCATTTTCTTCTATATAATTTATTTAATGATGTGACAAATAATGCAATCATTTATCACATTTGATGTTGCAGTATATTTGTAAAATTAAAAAAAAAAAAATTTTAATATTTTGTTTTTGTTAAAAATGCTATGATGTAGGTGTATTTATTGAGGAAACCTCAATAAATACACCTACATCATAGCATTACATAAAGATCACAGTTTACATAAAGATAGATTACAGTAACAGTATTCAAAAATTTTTTGTGACATATTTCAGTCAAATTTTAAAAAATAAATTTGTATGTAAATTATTTCTTTCTAAAAGAAAAGTGTCTCCTTTTATTTTTCATTTTACTTAGTAATATTCTGACACCCGGTTTCATGTAATAAATCTTCTTCCTTCACAAGTGCTAAAGATTCTTTTATGAAAGTCTTGTGTTTTTATTTATTAAACAGTTTTGAAACTATTTTGTGTCATCAGAACCCTTTTCAGTTGAATTAGTTCAATACTCTTCTATAAAAAAAAGTGTTATTTATCATTTATGAATTTATATTATGGCAGAGGAGTTAGAATAATGTACTTTAGAATATTTAAAGAATAGTAAGACAAATAAAAAACAAGAGAAAAGAATACTATTTGTATATATTAAACAAAATGGTATTATTCATTTTTTAATATTTTTTTGAGTATCAAAAATTGTACCAAGAGTTAATAAAGTCTATTAAAATTATATTTGTAGGATAAGAGGAAAATTTAATATAATGTATTAATACCTAAGTTTTGTGTAGATAACCTGTAGGTTATCAGGTTATATTGCTATATAACCCGTGGGTTATATACCAATTTTGAATTGTAATTACAGACTTACCAAATAGCTTTTTATTCATCTAAAGTCACTAAGATTGTCTTTAGAAAGTGTAGAAGACACTGTGTGCAGACATAATCATCTGTCGTCATGATTTTTCCCAAATCCACCAAAGGCATGTATATGCATAGCTCACCTTTTCAACTCTTATTTTCTGAGCCATCAATCCATGTTTTAATTATTAATACTAGATTGTTTAATTTTTTGTCTGTTAACTCATTACTTTCTTAATTGCATGTAAATTTTAATAATTAAACAATTATTAGGGTTACCACTTTTGTGCAAATAATTTTTAAATTAATAATTTATTTAGTAATTTTTAAATTTCAGAGTTTGTAAATTGTAAAGCTACCAAAAGATTATATTTACTAGTAGTGAATGTTAGTTCATATTCAGTTTTCATTTAATTTCTTTGGTATCGATAAACTTAGTATGAATCAGTTTTTATAGAGTGAAAAAAATTTTATTTATATTTGGAGAATTTATATTTTAATTTGAAATTTAGCATAGTTCAATTTTTATTTATGTAGGACTGTACTTCAGAAGAACGTTTTCACGTTGAATTACATTTCAGTCCTGGCGTTGTTTGTTGCGTTCAGAAGAATTTACCTCCTGGACCGGGATTTAGACCTCAGTCGAGGAGTGGACCAGTAAGTAAATAAGTTTCATATTCATAGTTGATTTATTTTCTAGATTATTTTATTTAATGAAGAAAGAGGTTTTTTTTCTGATAAGAAATAATATTAAAATAATGTTTTTATTAAGAATTGAATTATATAAAACAAACAAAAATGACATACACTTTTTACAATTAATAATGCTAAATAATTTGTTGGTTATCTTAAAAGTATTGGTTATTCTCAGTAAAAATTTCTTCAGTCAAATGATGTTTTCAGACACTAACATACAGTGTTTTCAAATGTCATATGTCTTGTTTTACGCAAGGGTTGCATTTCAGCAGATATTGTGTAAATTTGGGCTTCTTCCCAAGTAATCCGAGATGATTGTCTATATACTTATGCAATTGTTTACAGTTAACATAAAAATGTTAATTAGGCTTAAAACATTTTACCTAATAATGTTTTAGTTTGGCATTTCTGAATATATACAAAGTAAAGTTTTATTACACCGTATTGAGTACTCCGCTTTAAAAAAAATATATACATGCAAGCTACAGTATTCTCTACAATGAGTATAATTCTGTAGTTCTCTAGCTTCTGACGTTCCAAATACAGAGAAGTACGGTTTGTGGAGTTTTAAGAGTGAGATCTAGTGACACTAGGACTGATTAACCTAACTGCCCTCTATTCACAAAAACACGTTTGAATATATCAATCTCGTATAAATCAAGACACTGCTGTGTAACGTTACACTAACACAACAGTCTTTAAACTTTAAAGATCTATGGAACCCTCGTGCCTCAATATTACTTTTGCCAAACTCTAAAAAATGTAATTAAAAATGAACGTATGAAAAAGAGTTCAATGCATTTTTATTTTTTAAGTAATAAATCCCTTTTTAGTTAGAAAAGGTACAATTTAGAAATTTTACTTTCAATACTTTTTAATGAAAATAAAAGTTCCTTATAAACATCTTTTGTAGAACTTTAGGATTCTGCAATACAGTTTGAATACCACTGTAATAACACAAATAAAAATAATTCTATTATTATAACATTTTAAAATGTGAATGTAACATATTACATTTTTTGTATTAAATAAACTACTAATTATTAAGAATGATAACATATTAATTAAACAGGAAATAATATTAATTTTTTAATATTTTACTTGAACTAAATGTGGAAAAAAATGTATATTTTATTTTTACTGTAATTTTAAAGACTGTAGGATATGGAAATTCAGATTATATTTATTATTTTAATTTTAAAATAATTATTGTTCATTACATTGTTTGAAAATAGTTTGAATGTTATTGAATATAGTAGATATTTTATTTTGGCTGTAAAGATATCGTAATTAAAATTTTATTTCAATGTTTCAAATTTATTTTCAATTTCGGAATACTATTAGTCATTTTCTCAAATATAAATAACTATAACAGAAGAATACTATGTTTAAATCTCATTTTCATTAAAATTTGTTTTGTTTGATGGATCAGAATTTTGAGGTAATGTTTTCTCTCATCTATTGTAATTATTATTAGTACTTCTGAAGCTAGAAATATAAATGCTGAAAATTTTTGAAAATAAATAAATAAATACAGGGTGTTTCAGCTTAGGGATATAATAAAAGAAAAATTCACAACTTGCATTTTATTCATATCAGACTGGAATTTGGTATTTTTAGCCATTTTTGGGAAATGCCACACTATAGTTACTAGCACTTGCATTCAATGGCAAAATTGTTACATTGTAATAATGATGACATGGATTCCTCGGCAGAAAGTTTTCTGTGTTCTTTTATTGGTGAAGTCGGTGAAGCTCTTTCAATGTAAATTTTGGCATCAGTTTAATATTGTTGTGTAGACTATCCCAGTTATGTTAGTATTGTCAAGTGAGACAAGTAGTTAGAGAAAGTGACACTTCGGTGCCCACATGTGGGAAGCACTCGGTGGAAAATTTCCTGGGAAAAGCTTTGTATGACCTTCCAAAGAAGTGCAAGGAAGTCAATTTGTTATGCCAGCTTGGAGTTTGAAATTCCTTGCCCTGTGGTCCATGATGACAATTACAAAAAAGATTACTCCTACATGCCTACAAAATTTGGATGCACCAACAAATTTTTCTGGAGGACAGATATAAACAAACGGCATTTACAGAAGAAATGTTAGCCAAAATTGAAGAGGCCAGTTCTTTCCCAGACTCTGTGTGCTTCTGTGATGAAGCAAAATATCACATGTCTAAGAAAGTAAATGTGCACAATGTTTGCATTTGGAGCAGTGAAAATCCACGTCAGGATCGTGAAGTCGAGACTCCCAAAATTGAATGTGACAGACTTTACTGAAGGACCAGATGATAGGCCTGTTCTTTTTCACCAAGATCACGACTGGAGTAAGATATTTGGATTTGCTGTAGTTTATGCTGTCCCTCAAATTTCTCCTGGTACCAAATTTTGACAATATGGTGTCCCTCCCTATTTTGCAATTCAGGTATGACAGTTTCTAAATACTTTTCTGGACGGTGTATTGGAAGACCATTCAGTGGAACCATTCATTCAGCTTTTATGTTTGCCAGATCTTACCCCACTGCCCTTTTTTCTTTAGGGTTTTACAAAGGACCAAGTGTATTGTGTATCTGTGCATAATTTGAACAATCTGAGATTTGATTGATGGGATAAGGCAATGCAACACATGTGCAATCTGCTTGGGCATTGCCTTTTGGGAGGACATTTTATCAGAAACTGTCCCGTTTAAGTGTGAAGAAAGCCCAGAAAACTTCCCATGGTCAGCTCATAGGTTAAGCATAAACCTGTGACTGACTCCTAGCATTCTTTGGTTTTATCCACTCAGCCACCGGTAGGCTAAACAGTCTGAGATGCAAAATCCATCAGGCTGTCAACTGTGTCACATCTCGGATGCTTCGAATACATGGTCAGAGATGGAGTACACATCGGACGTGTTCTGCACCATTTCTGATGCACAGCCCTTTCAGTTTTTGGATGCTGAACATTGCAGATGTGTGATTTTCGACTGGTGAGTTTTCTTTTGAAGTGTTTTTAGTACTGTNTTAACAAATGGTAGAAAAAAAATATATATGATAGTTATACAAATAAATATTTGAAAAAATAAAACAATTAAAGCCAGTATAAATAATGTGTCCTACAAATTATAATAAAAATACATGTTTAGTATTTATATTATTTGTTTAGAGTCACCATTATATCATGGCGAAACGTGGGACTTGATGCAGCGTCGCTGGGCAAAATTAGAAAAGGATTTTAAATTGAAAAATGAAAAATTTGACATTAGCAAGATTCCAGATATATACGATTGCATTAAATATGACCTACAACACAACCAGCATACTTTGCAGTTTACACATTCAGAAGAATTATATATATATGCAAAAGCTTTAGCAGATATTGTCATTCCTCAGGTATTATAATCTTAATTTTTTAATTTAAGTCGTAATTTTTATGCTTTGTTTTTAATCAAAAGTAAATATTTATTGTAATGAAGGGAAGTAGTTTTACATTCAAAGAAAAAATAATCTTTTAGTACACATACTTTAAATATTCATTCTTGATAAATATAGGTTTAAAATTTAATATTTCATTTAATCTAAGCTTTAAGTCATCTTTTTGAAAGTTTGATATTTTGAAATATGTTTCTTTACCAGTAGTAACTCAATAACAAATTTTTTAACTTAATTATTTATTTAGGAATATGGTATCACCGAACAAGAAAAATTAACAATCGGATTAGGCATTTGCACTCCTCTGTTGAAAAAAATACGTGCAGATCTTCACAGAAATATCGATCCAACTGAAGAAGATACAGAAACTGTAAATAGATTAAATCCTATGTAAGTAACTTAATTACTATTGACTATAAATAATATAAATCTGCTACTGAACTTCGATTTTTCCCCCTTGTTTTCAATGAGCCTTTATGATAGTTTGATCAAAAATTTATGTGCATGTAATTTTTACATACAAATTACAAATTATCTGCTAAGAATGTTTTGTCTTCAGAGAATTATTGAAATACAATAAAACTATGGTAAGTTGAAGTTTAAGAAGTTAAAAATAGATTTTGAGTTAGAGTTTCAAGTTCACAAGTTTCATACACAATTTTCTCAAATTTTTCTGTGGCCATAAATTTCCCATTATCAAGATGTATCTCAAAAATTTGTTTACAGAATGATTACAAAATTATATACAGTTTGTGGCAACTTTGAGTGTGTTGTTTGGACGCCTCCTTGTGTCCCAATTAGAATTCCAGTAACAATCATACTGTGTCAATAAAAAGATGCCATTGTGAGGTTGTAATGACACGGTAGTGTTGTGTTCAAAACAAAGCCATAGTATTTATCTTCATCGTCTATATTCACATGGAATATAATGTAAAATGAAAATCAACATCCCATCAAAGTATGGAGGGTAAACAGGAAGATATGGTAGAGTTAAAAATTACCAACAATTTCAACTTAACAAGACTTTATTTTACAGAAAACCCTACATACTATGATCAGAACCTGTAAACAGCTTAGAGTTAATGCAGTTCAACTTAGTGAGGGTTTAGTGTATCTCAAAAATTTGTTCACAGAATGATTACAAAATTATATACAGTTTATGTTAAATCATCTAATTAAAAAGATGAAAGAGGATCCTAAAGTACAAGGTAATTAATCAAACTTCACTAAACATTGTCAGATTACCTTTTGGACTATGTTAAAGTAACTTTTAGTTAACAAATGGTAGAAAAAAAATATATTATAGTTATACAAATAATATTTGTATAACTATCATACATGACAGAGCAATAGAGAAGCAAGTTTGAAAGTGTTTAATTTACATGGTAATATTTTCAAATGACACAGTTTGTTAGACAAATATTCAACATTGAAGTTTAAGAACATCTTTTTAAATTTCTTTTCATTAGTTTCCGTATAACTTTATACTAATAGCTAGATAAAAAGCTTAAATTGGAACAAAATAACAATATTTTTTCTTTTGAGAATACATTATATTATAAGCCATAAATTTTTGGACATTCTTTATTCCTAATGGAATTCTTAATATTATTCTGGTAACACTAAATATCTGGATAAAATTAAAATCATGAAGAGATAGTATAAACATTTCTCAGTGGTTTAATAAAAGTATCAAATCCATCTAGTAAACAAAGCAATAATTACAGATACGTCATACTAACCTTGTATAACTTTGCAGTTACTACTTAAAAAACGTAACACAAACGTTTTCAACCCACTTCTAGGGTCTTCCTCAGGTGTTTTATAAGTTATTCTGGTGCGATTCTGATTTTTAACCATTCAGGTCTCCAATGCTTCTATCTTCGGAATTTATTTTTTAAAATTTCAAAATTCGAATCTCCAAATGTTTTATAAATTTATGACGCAATGCTTTAACAACTGGCACAGGCACACATTGTTTGGAGATTAAAATTTTGAAATTTTAAAAAATAAATTCCAAAGATATGTGAAAAATCTGACTATCGTATGAGAATTTTTATTAAATACGTAACAAGTTATATTTCTTTCATCATTATTTCCGTTATTTCTCCCGTTCTCACCCCGTTACCCGAGGAATAGACCCCGGATAATGAACTGCGTAATTCGTCTGTCAAGAAGGTCATCCCTGGGACGACGTTGTCCGAGGCGACCGCAGAAGAACTCCCCTCTCCCCGGGGTGTTTGTTTGTTTTTGCTAATTGGTCACACCGCAGACACCTTGTAATAGAGTAGTCTCCTGTGGGTGTCCAGTTGACGGAGGCGGACGGGTGTTCTTGTATTGAGGGTGGACAAGAGGTCACCTACAAGGGTCACTCGTATGGTGAGAAACATTACCTAAAATGGTCAGTCATCTCCCCAGGTGATGACGAATTTAACATTAATTGGTCGAGCGATGTCTGCATTGTCGTCACCCATGACGGGGGAGACTGTCATAAATCGGGAGAAGTGACATATTACGTCAACGGAGTCCCCGAGATTTCCCATGCTAAAAAAGTATAAAAGGGGAATGATCGGAGGTCTTGAGGCGATCATCGGAGAAAGAAGACTACAAGCGTCTACTCTGGAAGGACTTCAAGGTTTCTGATCGTCGACCTAAAGAGGTAAATACTTAGATTGTTTTTACTTCACTCTCTCTCGATATACTCGGACTTAGAAATTATTGTCTCTCGATATACTCGAACTTAGAAATTATTCGTCTCTCGGTATACTCGGGACTTAGATCATATTGTCTCTCGACTTACTCGGGACTTAGAAATTATTTGTTCTGTTCCTTTTGCTAGGACTTAGTCATATTTAGTGTCGAGGACCTTCGACGGTCTCACTTACGGGATAGACGGACATCGGTTGTCTGATATTGTCGCGACTCGGAATTTATTATAATTATCGCTTTCATATTGTTTAGAATTAATGTGTAATTGTATTATTTTTATGTTTATATTAAATATGTTATTCCTAATTTAATGACTCTTGTTAAGTACTTCCGACATCTCATCATGACTTCATTACGCCTCCCACTCCTTTAGCCCTCCTATAGCCATTTCCTGACAGCCAAGCCGGTAAGTGGGGAGAAGCTCTCCGCTTCAGCCCCCTCGGTTAGCACAGATAGAAGCATTGGAGACCTGAATGGTTAAAAATTGTAATTGCACTAGAAAAACTTGTCAAACGTTTGTGCTACATTTTTTAAATAGTAATTGCAAAGCTATACAAGATTAGTATGACGTATCTTTAATCAAAGTATTTAATACGTTACCAATTAATAATTGCATTAATTTTTTTTATTTATTTTATTATTAAATGCATAATTTTTTGTGTAATTTCTACTTTAATGATCAGTCATTATTACTTCATGTACATACGATTGCTAATTTAGGTATTCTCATGGAGTTTCTTCACCCGAACGGCACGTTCGCACTCGGCTTTATTTTACCAGCGAAAGCCACATTCATTCACTTTTGACGGTCCTTCGTTACGGTGGATTAATAGACGTAAGTTTATATCAAATAAATTAAACACACAATTCAATATTTTTTATGCCTATAAATTAGAAAAATCTTAGAATAGCAAAATAAAAGATTAAAATTCTGTGTCAAGTAAATTGTTAGCTAGCATGAATTTTGGCTTTATTTTGCACTTTTTTAAAGTGTCTAAGTTAACTTTTTAACAGACTACTTACACGTTAAACATTGTAATTATTTATTTTTATTGATTATTGGATTCTTGATAATTAAAGAAATGTTTGGGATAAGCATGAAAGAAACATGACATTAAAAACATTGAGATTAAAATAAGTTTTTTTATTAAAACAAATTTTCGACCATACAAATAATTTTAGGTTAGTTTAAAATCCTTTTTTAATATTTCATCTGTCCGTAGCTGGAATATTAAAAAAAAGGATTTTAAACTGACCTAAAATTATTTGTATGGTCAAAAATTTGATTTAATCAAAAATTTATCCTTTGAACTTTGTTATTCAAACTTTTATCATTTCAGCTGTATTTACGTTTAGCTAGCAATTTCAGATTACAAGATTAAAGTAACTGATAGATTTGCATATCTAGTTAAGTTATATCTTTTGTGACACTTTTCATATAATTCAACTCTAGTGAATTCACAACAGGATTTAGTTTTGAAAGTACTGTACATTTAGAATATTTTTGTCTGTTGTTGTCATTGACAGACAAAAATATTGTCATAAACAAAAGTGATTTTTTTACAAACAAGACAAAGTTTGTTAGTTTTGTATTTATAAATCATAAATAAAAATTTGAAAAGTACAGGAGCTCCCCTACATACAGTTTAACCTGTGTCGAAAATTTAAATTTCACATGGATTCTGAAGTTTTCTTGCCAGTCATTGGATGGCATTGAAGTCGGTCTTTGGCCAGTAATAAATAAATTTTTAATAAATAATTAATTTGGGTTTATTTCTATTGCATATGGTAATTTTTCATTTTCGTGCAAATTCTGAGGTTCCATTGCCATTAGTGAGGTGGTGTCAAAGTCGGGAATGTTGGAGTAATGGCATTTTTTGCTAGCATTTACAACTTTTATAAACTTTCACAATTATTACTTCAAAAATGTATCCATAACATAATAGTAAATCTAGAAGTGGAGATAAATGCAAGAAGTGTTACTCTATTACCATGAAAACTAAACTTGACATTATAAAACTAAGTGTGTTAGGTGAAAAAACTATAGTTGAAACACCTCAAAAAACTGCAAAACCTTCACGTAAGTCAAAAACTCAGGAACCCTAACCTGTTCATAGTAGGAGTGCTACTATATTTTATAAAACACTGAACAAAGAGCATTTATTATACCAATTTAAACCTGATTTATTTTTAAGCTTAACATTAAGAAAAAGAAATAGTTTGTAGAATTATAGTAAATTCTATAAATTTGTGCAATGACAATAGTATAACATGCTAGCCCTTCAAATTGAAGACTGCCATGTCATTGATTTCATTAGTATTGCACTTCATCCACATATCAATCTTGAGTTCAGAGCTTTCAAAATCTTTTCATTGTTCCAAAGATCCTTTTCTTCTCTTCTTTTTCATCTTTGCCACAAGGATAAAACAATCATCATCCTGTTTTTATCACTATTTTTTTTCTGGGTGGTGTTGTTTTTGTTGTTGTTGCTGTGATGGAAATTCATATGTTCTCAATTTCTTGTCAGAATGCAGAAAGAAAAAGAAGTAATTGCATAAACATTTTCTTGATAATCATCATAAAATAACTTCATTTTTCCTAAGTATCGTATATGACTGATGCTCCAATTTGTATTTGAATGCAAACACAGGAAAAAAAAACATTATTAAAATGAATAACTCTCAGAGGAACGTTTTTGTACAGTCAATATTGGATTAATGTTATTAATAAATAGAATTGCAAAGTCCCTAGTTCTATATAGCCAGCAAATCTTAGACACATTTTTTTCATAATTTGGAAGTAATATGGAATATTTCAATAAGAATGAAAAATAAAATTTTTTTTATAAGTCGTTTTTATTTACTTGAAATATGTTAATAAAATTATAACCTATATAATTTTTCAGGAAAGTAAAGACGAACAGTGGCGAAGGGCAATGGAGTATGTCAGTGCCGTATCCGAACTAAATTATATGACACAGATAGTAATTATGCTGTATGAAGATCCTACAAAAGTAAATCATTTTCTTCTATATAATTTATTTAATGATGTGACAAATAATGCAATCATTTATCACATTTGATGTTGCAGTATATTTGTAAAATTAAAAAAAAAAAAATTTTAATATTTTGTTTTTGTTAAAAATGCTATGATGTAGGTGTATTTATTGAGGAAACCTCAATAAATACACCTACATCATAGCATTACATAAAGATCACAGTTTACATAAAGATAGATTACAGTAACAGTATTCAAAAATTTTTTGTGACATATTTCAGTCAAATTTTAAAAAATAAATTTGTATGTAAATTATTTCTTTCTAAAAGAAAAGTGTCTCCTTTTATTTTTCATTTTACTTAGTAATATTCTGACACCCGGTTTCATGTAATAAATCTTCTTCCTTCACAAGTGCTAAAGATTCTTTTATGAAAGTCTTGTGTTTTTATTTATTAAACAGTTTTGAAACTATTTTGTGTCATCAGAACCCTTTTCAGTTGAATTAGTTCAATACTCTTCTATAAAAAAAAGTGTTATTTATCATTTATGAATTTATATTATGGCAGAGGAGTTAGAATAATGTACTTTAGAATATTTAAAGAATAGTAAGACAAATAAAAAACAAGAGAAAAGAATACTATTTGTATATATTAAACAAAATGGTATTATTCATTTTTTAATATTTTTTTGAGTATCAAAAATTGTACCAAGAGTTAATAAAGTCTATTAAAATTATATTTGTAGGATAAGAGGAAAATTTAATATAATGTATTAATACCTAAGTTTTGTGTAGATAACCTGTAGGTTATCAGGTTATATTGCTATATAACCCGTGGGTTATATACCAATTTTGAATTGTAATTACAGACTTACCAAATAGCTTTTTATTCATCTAAAGTCACTAAGATTGTCTTTAGAAAGTGTAGAAGACACTGTGTGCAGACATAATCATCTGTCGTCATGATTTTTCCCAAATCCACCAAAGGCATGTATATGCATAGCTCACCTTTTCAACTCTTATTTTCTGAGCCATCAATCCATGTTTTAATTATTAATACTAGATTGTTTAATTTTTTGTCTGTTAACTCATTACTTTCTTAATTGCATGTAAATTTTAATAATTAAACAATTATTAGGGTTACCACTTTTGTGCAAATAATTTTTAAATTAATAATTTATTTAGTAATTTTTAAATTTCAGAGTTTGTAAATTGTAAAGCTACCAAAAGATTATATTTACTAGTAGTGAATGTTAGTTCATATTCAGTTTTCATTTAATTTCTTTGGTATCGATAAACTTAGTATGAATCAGTTTTTATAGAGTGAAAAAAATTTTATTTATATTTGGAGAATTTATATTTTAATTTGAAATTTAGCATAGTTCAATTTTTATTTATGTAGGACTGTACTTCAGAAGAACGTTTTCACGTTGAATTACATTTCAGTCCTGGCGTTGTTTGTTGCGTTCAGAAGAATTTACCTCCTGGACCGGGATTTAGACCTCAGTCGAGGAGTGGACCAGTAAGTAAATAAGTTTCATATTCATAGTTGATTTATTTTCTAGATTATTTTATTTAATGAAGAAAGAGGTTTTTTTTCTGATAAGAAATAATATTAAAATAATGTTTTTATTAAGAATTGAATTATATAAAACAAACAAAAATGACATACACTTTTTACAATTAATAATGCTAAATAATTTGTTGGTTATCTTAAAAGTATTGGTTATTCTCAGTAAAAATTTCTTCAGTCAAATGATGTTTTCAGACACTAACATACAGTGTTTTCAAATGTCATATGTCTTGTTTTACGCAAGGGTTGCATTTCAGCAGATATTGTGTAAATTTGGGCTTCTTCCCAAGTAATCCGAGATGATTGTCTATATACTTATGCAATTGTTTACAGTTAACATAAAAATGTTAATTAGGCTTAAAACATTTTACCTAATAATGTTTTAGTTTGGCATTTCTGAATATATACAAAGTAAAGTTTTATTACACCGTATTGAGTACTCCGCTTTAAAAAAAATATATACATGCAAGCTACAGTATTCTCTACAATGAGTATAATTCTGTAGTTCTCTAGCTTCTGACGTTCCAAATACAGAGAAGTACGGTTTGTGGAGTTTTAAGAGTGAGATCTAGTGACACTAGGACTGATTAACCTAACTGCCCTCTATTCACAAAAACACGTTTGAATATATCAATCTCGTATAAATCAAGACACTGCTGTGTAACGTTACACTAACACAACAGTCTTTAAACTTTAAAGATCTATGGAACCCTCGTGCCTCAATATTACTTTTGCCAAACTCTAAAAAATGTAATTAAAAATGAACGTATGAAAAAGAGTTCAATGCATTTTTATTTTTTAAGTAATAAATCCCTTTTTAGTTAGAAAAGGTACAATTTAGAAATTTTACTTTCAATACTTTTTAATGAAAATAAAAGTTCCTTATAAACATCTTTTGTAGAACTTTAGGATTCTGCAATACAGTTTGAATACCACTGTAATAACACAAATAAAAATAATTCTATTATTATAACATTTTAAAATGTGAATGTAACATATTACATTCTTTGTATTAAATAAACTACTAATTATTAAGAATGATAACATATTAATTAAACAGGAAATAATATTAATTTTTTAATATTTTACTTGAACTAAATGTGGAAAAAAATGTATATTTTATTTTTACTGTAATTTTAAAGACTGTAGGATATGGAAATTCAGATTATATTTATTATTTTAATTTTAAAATAATTATTGTTCATTACATTGTTTGAAAATAGTTTGAATGTTATTGAATATAGTAGATATTTTATTTTGGCTGTAAAGATATCGTAATTAAAATTTTATTTCAATGTTTCAAATTTATTTTCAATTTCGGAATACTATTAGTCATTTTCTCAAATATAAATAACTATAACAGAAGAATACTATGTTTAAATCTCATTTTCATTAAAATTTGTTTTGTTTGATGGATCAGAATTTTGAGGTAATGTTTTCTCTCATCTATTGTAATTATTATTAGTACTTCTGAAGCTAGAAATATAAATGCTGAAAATTTTTGAAAATAAATAAATAAATACAGGGTGTTTCAGCTTAGGGATATAATAAAAGAAAAATTCACAACTTGCATTTTATTCATATCAGACTGGAATTTGGTATTTTTAGCCATTTTTGGGAAATGCCACACTATAGTTACTAGCACTTGCATTCAATGGCAAAATTGTTACATTGTAATAATGATGACATGGATTCCTCGGCAGAAAGTTTTCTGTGTTCTTTTATTGGTGAAGTCGGTGAAGCTCTTTCAATGTAAATTTTGGCATCAGTTTAATATTGTTGTGTAGACTATCCCAGTTATGTTAGTATTGTCAAGTGAGACAAGTAGTTAGAGAAAGTGACACTTCGGTGCCCACATGTGGGAAGCACTCGGTGGAAAATTTCCTGGGAAAAGCTTTGTATGACCTTCCAAAGAAGTGCAAGGAAGTCAATTTGTTATGCCAGCTTGGAGTTTGAAATTCCTTGCCCTGTGGTCCATGATGACAATTACAAAAAAGATTACTCCTACATGCCTACAAAATTTGGATGCACCAACAAATTTTTCTGGAGGACAGATATAAACAAACGGCATTTACAGAAGAAATGTTAGCCAAAATTGAAGAGGCCAGTTCTTTCCCAGACTCTGTGTGCTTCTGTGATGAAGCAAAATATCACATGTCTAAGAAAGTAAATGTGCACAATGTTTGCATTTGGAGCAGTGAAAATCCACGTCAGGATCGTGAAGTCGAGACTCCCAAAATTGAATGTGACAGACTTTACTGAAGGACCAGATGATAGGCCTGTTCTTTTTCACCAAGATCACGACTGGAGTAAGATATTTGGATTTGCTGTAGTTTATGCTGTCCCTCAAATTTCTCCTGGTACCAAATTTTGACAATATGGTGTCCCTCCCTATTTTGCAATTCAGGTATGACAGTTTCTAAATACTTTTCTGGACGGTGTATTGGAAGACCATTCAGTGGAACCATTCATTCAGCTTTTATGTTTGCCAGATCTTACCCCACTGCCCTTTTTTCTTTAGGGTTTTACAAAGGACCAAGTGTATTGTGTATCTGTGCATAATTTGAACAATCTGAGATTTGATTGATGGGATAAGGCAATGCAACACATGGGCAATCTGCTTGGGCATTGCCTTTTGGGAGGACATTTTATCAGAAACTGTCCCGTTTAAGTGTGAAGAAAGCCCAGAAAACTTCCCATGGTCAGCTCATAGGTTAAGCATAAACCTGTGACTGACTCCTAGCATTCTTTGGTTTTATCCACTCAGCCACCGGTAGGCTAAACAGTCTGAGATGCAAAATCCATCAGGCTGTCAACTGTGTCACATCTCGGATGCTTCGAATACATGGTCAGAGATGGAGTACACATCGGACGTGTTCTGCACCATTTCTGATGCACAGCCCTTTCAGTTTTTGGATGCTGAACATTGCAGATGTGTGATTTTCGACTGGTGAGTTTTCTTTTGAAGTGTTTTTAGTACTAAGTGTCACAGCCAGTAGAAATCATATTTAAATATTAATAACATCTTAGAAATATATATAGATATAAATTTAAAAATGCCTGGGTGCGTACATCTGACTCCTGAGCTGTTCAACGAGATGCTTGAGGCAGCAATCATTGCACTGGAGGTCAGTAGAAACCTCTAAAGAGCAATAAAAGAAGCTATTGAGATCAATCTCAGTAAAGGACAGGATATGTTTCAAATACTGTACCAAAATTTCAAAGATTTAAAGGAACAAGAACCTATCTCTAAGCAACTGATGTCCTCTCAAACTCAAAGTCTAGCCAATGCCTCAAACAAGGGGAAAACCCATGCATCCGTATTTAAACTAAGACCCCTCCAAGGAACGATAAAGTAGTTTTGATTTATAATAAAGATGAGAGCAAATCAATCACCGACACGTTACAGGATCTCGAATCCAGTGTTAACTTAACTAAACTAAGGGTTGGGGTTAAATCCACTCGTCAAATCAAAGACGGTGTGTTGATAAACTGTAACTTTCAAGAAGGGGTGAAGAGGCTTGTTGAGTCTCTAAATAAAAGAGATGACATTAAAGTAAGGTCTCCAGTTTTAAGAGACCCTTGCATCATAATTCCCAGAGTAAAATGGGACAACTTAAGTTGTTTTTCGTCTTAAGTTGTTCTCCTGGAACCAATTACCGACGTAAGGCGAGGTATACCTGTATATCGCTGTGTCAAGCAGAGCCTGCCAAGCCATTAACAACACCATTTCCTTCTTAAAATTTATACAAGATGATACAAAGTTAGCTTTAAAAATTTCTATGGCCTCCAACCATCTTAGGTGTTCCATGTGCAATGTTATGATGAGATGTTTGGCTTGCATAAAGTTCACCACAATTTCCAGATCCATGTATAGGTAGAGAGGGCCATGGATGTTCTGGCATGTTACACGTCTGAAATATCTTCTTATATTCTGGTTTTTATAGAACATTTAGTAGACCTGATGTATTGTACAGAAGGTTCCTATTACATCTGGTGTTCCAGATAGGAACACTGTATATGCCACGTAGTCTGCTAGGGTTGAGAGAATCCTTCTCATTACAAAGGATAGTGAAAATAGACAGGCACCCGTGGAAAGCTATGAGGTGATTTTTGCATATAATGAATTTAGGAAGGGGTTAAATAAAAATTACTTTCAAACTGAATAAAAATCCTATTATAAGTAAAATTGAAGGATTAATTTATGAGACTATTTTTTCAATTTTAAAACTTAGTTTTTACAAAGAGATGTTTATAATATTAAAAATCTGAAAATAATTGTTTGGTCGTCCAAAATAAGCCATCTATTTACCAAAACTACATTATGATTTTGAGTTTTACGGCTTTTTATGCAGCCAATGAAGATTATAATCAATTAAAAGCATTTAATTAATATTTATTTATTATAATTGTTTCTTTTGTTCAATTTGCTGTTAATAGCTAATAAAAAGTGTAGATAATATTTCAGAAATAACATTACATGGCAAATTTTGGGCTTTGTGATGATATCTAACTGAACAAAAAACAAATTAAAAAGTGCTAATGTAGAACAGATAGAATTTGCTTAGTCAAAAGATTGGCAATATAATTGGTATAATTGGGGCATTCAAAAAGTTTCCAGAAAACGTAAATAAGATGATGACAAATCAAATTTAGCACTTAATTTTCCAACATACATTTCATTTTCCATGTTTCAGTACAGTGTCACAACCCTTCTAGGTTCTTCCACTTGAAATTGGTGCTCTTTGATTCTAGCCACTGCACTACAAAACGTTTCGCTCGGTCCATCAACTGCCAGAGAATGTCTTTAATGTCTTTAAGTTTGGGAATAAAAATGTCTGATGGAGCTAGACACGAATATCTGATAAGTCTAGAGAAGTTTATGCTCACATCAATTAATTATAAATGTGTCATTCTGTTTGTGAATAACAATCACTTTTTGGGAGCTT